TAATAATATTATAGTTACAAATGATTATGAAGAAAACTCTATATTTAGAATTATTATATATTAAAACTATTTGTCCTAAAAGAACTGAAAATTACCAGAGGTGAACTGAGAACCATGTGTTTTATTGAGGAAAGTTTGAACATAGGAAGGGATGTTTCATAAACTGTTACAGAAGGTGCACGGTTATGCTTTCCAGTCACTTACAATCAAGAATATTCCTAAATGTAATTACTTCAAGCGTCATCTGCTCTGGACAGTAGTAATGATTCTTGCAATAAATATTCTGCATACTGACATACATTTCAGTCTAAGTATCGATCTAGTATTTTTGAAAGAGAGAGTAGTGCAGGTTTGCGAGAAAAGCAATTTAGGTATACAACATAATATGGTTTTGAAAGATCCAGTACCATGTATGTCCAACTTTCCTCAATACAGCTTACGATATCATCATTTTATATGGGCAACTTTTCTTTGTTGTCGTCCTGCATGTCCTATAACAAGTAAAGCAGTGAGCTTGTGACCTAACGAATCACTCTTTCTAAAGTTTCTAAAGAGCTAAGTTCTTCAATCATTCTTCACATAACCTTTGAGAAAATCAAAATTTTAAATTGACAGCTTTACCTTGCTTGATACAATTTCAACGATAACAGTTATATGGAAGTTGTCTTTATAGACCCAAATACCTTCGTCGGTAACGTTTGTATCAACCTTGAAAGCCATTCCAGTTTTTGTTTTGTCCAAAAAAACGAAAACATAAAATTGCATCTGTTGCCTTATAGTATTTTTCAGCATAAAATGGTATTATTGTGACATGAGGTTACTCTTATATGATAAATAAATTTATTCAGACATTTGATAGCTAAATAAATGTGTTTACAAGTTAATATGAAACATTTAGTTTTTTGTTCTACAAGTAGTGCATTGGACCTCTATGGAACCTTATAAGTACTGTGTTTTGATGAATATTTATATAGATTTTGAAGACTGTGTATCACTGAGGCTACAAATTTATTCTTCTGGATTATTCAGCAGATACGCTGTTTGAAGTACTAAAAAAATATGAAGCTAACCTATCATTCTATTCACCACTCACCATTAAGTTAAATTCATTTCGGGGAATTCTATCCTAAAGAATTAAGTAACGCTAGATATTCTTCAAATTTATGTACAAATAGATTCATTGTGGAGAGTAAAAGACAAACGAAACACCATACTAACTACTGAGTGCGTTTTATTAAAACCATTTTGGAGCTTCACCACGTCGTTACAGTACATGTCGCCATGTCCGGTTATGCTCTATCTGATGACCGTAAATCTTGACACTAGCCCTTCAGTATTGTTTCAATTGGAAAAAGATCCACTGAAAAACTCTCCTGTCCAAAGCACACCATTCCTCGATGCATATTTTCCGTAATTCATCTAGTGTACGAATACGACGATTTCCCGGTACCCTTTTCCACATTTTGATCACATAGAAACCCATAGGCACTGTGCCCGGCAACTTAACTGATATGTCTTTATATAGAAAATATAAATACCCATTTCATTCTCCAGTTGCTTGAGGTATGCGATAGTTGAACGAGTATTTCGTGGAAGCAACTTGTGTACAGATGACTTGTGTCACTTTTCCAGATGAGGATCCTTTTTGTATGTGTTGCGTATTGTTACCTGAGACACTGAACAGCTGATGTGACTGTCCTTTGTGTTCCTACATTGCCATCTGTTGTAAGACGCCGCACGTTTGGATACGACTTGTTGTAGGTCTCTTTCTCAATGTTCCTGATACTCCAAATTCAACCATATTCATTTGTTTTCCAATGCCATTACGAAAAAAGGGAAATTCTAAATACCCAATCGTAATACAGCTTTAGGACCTGACAGTACGGATATTTTGCGTTGAAAAGGCCTGTTACATACACTTCCCAAAACTAATCAAATTTTGGTAGCATCACGCTACCTACGAACGCCAAACAGTGTCAAAATTTAGTTCTAATATATGCAGTTCCACCGCGACTCTATAGCAGCAGTGTTTGTTATATTACTTGCTGATTTGTATATATTCAAAATAATTTTAATATAACATACTCAATCCTCTGTAATATACATGCCAACACTACAAGAAACCTTGTTTTATTTGTCGATTTTTCCCTTGTCCAAATACTGATAAGAGCTTCATATCGATCTAATTAATTTAAATGTGGTTCCCCGGTGGTACAGCGGTAAACTAATGGACTTGCAACGATAAAATTCGAGGTTCGATTCTTCGTGGTGGACACAGCAGATAGCCCAAAGTGGTTTTTCTCTAAAACAAACACACACACTCATTTGGTGTAGGATGCTTGAGTAATAAAATGTTATTGTTTAAAAACATATATCGGAAAACCCATAAAGTACATAACGATTTTTGAACTAATAACTTATTAATTGATATAGCTAATCAATTAGCTAATTATAATTCTTCTAAGTTATTTTTATATGCTTTGCTGTTAATGTATTTCTGAGAACATTTATGGAAAATGTTTTAAACATCTTTGCTTCTCCAACATTGTTGACATAATTTAGCAATGAATTGCTAACAAGTTGAAACTTTACTTACTGTTGTTTACTATCTGTGTCATATAAGAAAACTCTGTCTACGAGTTCATCAAACTTTTACTAAACATTTCTTGTGAAACAAGGCACATAAAAATATACATTGTTCCAAGGTTCGATTCCCCACAATGAAGAGATCGCAAATAGTTCAGTGTAAATTTGAAGGCTTATAACGCCAAAGACTGAATTTCGATACTCGCGGTGAGCAGAACACAGATAACACATTGTGCAACTTTGTGCTTAACCAAAAAAAAATCCCTGTACCTAAAAACTTACTTAAAAACTCATTTTTATTAAGAAAGTTATTATAATTCAATTCTTCTGTAAAATAATTTAGGAAAATAATAACCACAATTATTCTTACAAATAAATTTTTTTGTCTTGAAAAAAAAAACCACCAAAAGGATGATAGTTATTACCAGAATTTTTCATTTGAATCTTTCAATTTAATTTCATTAAGATCAAGCACAAGAACTTTGGAGATATATAACTTTTGTTCCTTTTCTTGTTATCACAACTTCGTTGTTTTTCGGCTGAGTCTGATTTACAGAATCCACAAAGATTGTTTTAATGACCTTTTAGAACAATCTGAGGCACGATTAGTCCGTAAGCAAGGAAAGTACAGAGCATAGCTGTTTGTTTTTGTGTTTTTTGAGCTAATTAGCAAATTAACACTTGCATATTGGATTCAAAATAAGTTTGTGGCATATTAAATGTGATTTTTAAATATATATATATATATAAATATAAACAGTTTAATGGTAAAAATTAAAGAAAAATTGGGTTACTTAAGAAAAATCGATCCATTCTGAGTAGCCCATTAACGTAACTCATAAATAACGGATGTATTACTTATTTTCTTTAACTAAGTGATTACGAATTCAATAAAGAAACACTAACTGTAACATTAAAGTAACTTAGATATATAACAGAACAACAAACAGATATGTCTTACCTCAGTGATTACGGAAACCCTACCTCTGGATCCAGGGGTATAGTAATCTGTTGACGACTCTCTAATACAAGGGTCAACAGAGTCGCTAATCTCCATGCTAGTTAATCGAGAATGCAAAGTTTTGGTCGTAGACATTGGAAAAGCACACTTTTTTTCCATCTGAGGGGAGTCTAACAAACACATAGGAGAAGACATTTTATCTTGCTTTAGGATTGGTTGGCGCTATTCTTAACGACGATTTTTTAAAATATATGCTTAACATCTAAAACGATTATTCCGTACATATTCACAAAACTCAAGCAAAATTGATCTAAAAGTGATGGCTTTGCTGGTGTTTAGAGGCACGCGAGATGTTTCTTATCAAAACCAACAGGCTAATCTTCTTTTTCTCATTACTCGATGCTAAGAAATACAGTCCTATCTGATTCTGTCCCTCGACGTTATTATTATAAAGTCACAGCTGAAACTGTTTAACAACAGTATCTAACTAGATTAGCACGTTTTTCAAAACTACTACCGCATCCACTCGCTAACAGAGGCTGTAGAAATGTGCCTGAATGACGTTATACCACTCAAAACCGATATCTTATATGGACTTGCTATTAGTGTAGAAATCGATCCCGCCACCATTCCCTCCACCAACAAATGTTCTCTCTCACATGTCTGAAAGCCGGAAATAATACAAAACTTTACGCGACATCCTAGATTTTTAAAATATTGATAATGAATTGAAAAAAATAAATAAAAATTGATAGTTCCATAATATATGACGAGAAAATAATGTGTAATATATCGAAGCTCAGTGTTGCTAGTTTGTACAACTCCCCGAATTCATTGATTCTTACTGATCTAACTATAATTAACATACGATAGTCTTATGTATCCTTCCACTGTTTGTCTCTGAACAGTATACATATTTCAAAGGCAATATTTTATCAGCACTGTGAATACGTATGCTATACTTTAATATGTAAGTGCTTAGCCCTAAAATCTTATGTATAATATATTTTTAATAAATAAATAATGTAAAAGTAAAGTAGTTTTGTGCAAATCTTTATAGCTTTCGAGATTAATCATCGATTTACGATGTTGCAGAGTTCTATAGAATAATTAAATAAATGACATTTACAAAGATCTGTATCTTTATACAAAACTGCAAATTTTATAATGGTAAGTTCTGTCCTTAAATCTTTTTCAATATCTCTCTCTATATTGTAGATGGATAATAGTAAGGGTAACTAGAGAGAGTGAATGATTCAATCAAATCCCTTCATCCTTCATTATTTTCCCGTAATGTCTTAACACCGTATATCTCAGAAAAGTTATAAAATTCATTACCGTGTTTGTCAAGTTATCTGCACCTGTTCTACAATTCAGTCAGTGATGCTGATATTGTCTTTGAACCAGAATATAGTCAAATTCAGAATTCTTTTTAATCTATTTCAGTCTTTTTATATATATTATTTTGCTCACGGTCTTGAGGCTCTTCTCTAGTGTTTGAAATCTGACTTCAAGAAAAGATGTTGTGGCGAGACTGAGTCAACATGAGAGTAATTTGCCTAAACGATAGAGCACAAAACTAGTTTCGCATGGTATTCAATAAGTGTCAAAAGCGTCATTTGGCTTTAGAATAGGTATTCACTAAATCTTTATAGACATTGTATAGTGTAGATGTTTCTGTTTCAATAGTCTTACAGTGTCTCAGCGATAAACCTGAAGGTTTATAACGCCCAAAACGATGGGTTTGGATACCCGTGGTGGGCATAGCACAGATAGTCCATTGTGCATATAAACTGTTTTAACAACTACCGATAGTTTTTCAAATCATCAAAAATCATTTAGGTATCCGTTTTTTTACAGAAAACTTAAGTGATCGCGTAGATGTGATGATAGTGATGTTTTTAAATGAAATTTCTGTTGCTACGGCGCAGTTTTTCATGTTTTATTGAATCAAAAGTTCGTCCGTTCTCAGTGTAAATGTCTTGTATTACTCCGCGTTTTGTTGAACTAAGACTCATTAATTAAACCTAGACAAGATCCGCTGATTTGTTGAGCATTGTACATGTAATAAACTGTGCATTTTGGTACAGCCGCTGCGGGTGCCAGCTCAATATATACATTATTCTGTGGCCACATGCTGTTTTACCTGGCATTTTACGAAGGGATGAAACAGAGTAAACCTGCGTTAATTTGAATAAACATTGTAGCATTTTCCAATAATTTTAATGAGTTATATCTATGAAATAGTTGAGCTATTTTCTAAAGTCTGATACCTTTTGCTGAATAACAGTGAGAGGTTATTATTTAGATGTATTTGCATACAATATATTTAATATATATATGGTTAACTAAATTCCATATTCTTGGTTCATGGACTTTATCTTAACACTAGATATATTTATACCAATTCAGTCGTGTTAAAATAATGAGAACGTCTGGAAAAAAAAGAGAGAAAAATCATGGATATCAACCATTCTGCCCTATATCATTATTATTATTTAAAGGATGATTAGCAAGTAAATGAAAGTTTCATACATGTAAATGAGTTTTTTGTTTGCGTAGCTAACTGTGTTATGTCCACAGCAAATAATGAAACCCGATTTAGCTAAGCCACTAAGTCCTTCTTTATTCCACAGTGAATATTATAGTATTTTCTTATTAGAATTAATGTATTGATACCGATAGCCAGCCCACTGCACTGCTTTCTGATTAGTGTTTTTATATTCTCTTCTAGTGTATTTTATTTCATCTAATGTATTATGTGTCACAGAATCTTAAAAGTTGATAATACATGCTGCCTCTTCAACATAGTTAATGCTATATCTGCATTTTAAACAACACATTGTGTTTTTCTTGTTCTAATGGTTGTACGCATTTCTTTAAGTTGGTCATTATACCCCATAGTGTTTTCTTAGAATCCCACTTTGTAACTGTAGTGTAGTATTGTAGTTAAGCACACAGCTACACAAAGAGCTATCTATGCTCTGTCCACCATGGGTATCGAAACCCGATTTCTATCGTTGTAAGCCCGCAGACATACCGCTGTCCCTGGGTGGCTTCAAAAATGTAACACGAAATCAACTCAGCACAATAGGTTTATGCCGTCAAATTAAATTTACTTGGACAGCTTAATGGGTAAAAGACATACATTTTTGATAACTTCAAACATTGACTGCATTGTATTGGTGTAAAAGTCCAAATATAATTTTTATATATGTTATTTGTTCTCGATATAATTGTAGCGAATTGCAACACTTTTGTTTCATTCCCACGCTCACTTGCTTCGCCCGGAAATCACGAAACTCTCACGCACTCAGTTTGCTAAAACATTCGAGAAGTCCCTCGACTGAGCATAAAAGGGGCGGAGTTAGACGCCACTCTCTCAGTTGCTTCTCACTCACTCAGTTGGTCATTTCGTCTCGTTCCGTGCACAGTCAAAGCAAAGTTCGATCTTCTTCCTTGCGTCATACCCGCGATATAATCAAATTCTACAAAACTTTGTTTTTTCAAATCTTATAAACTCTATTTCTGTAAACATGAATTATTTTATATTTTTTGGAAAATCATTTGAAATGCTGGCTGCCTCCAGTTCTAGTAAAGTCCGAAAGTGATAAAAATCACCTAAACGGTTTCTGCTATATTTGGGAAAAATATATTATGGTTTCACGAAGAAAAAACCATCACACACACAAGGTAAAGGTAGCTTACTACCACTATTTTGGGTGTAAAATTGGTGATCGAGAAAAACATTGGGCTCCACATATGTGTTGTACAGTGTGTACATCTGGCTTGAGACAGTGACTAAATAAGAAGTATACCATTTGCAGTTCCCATGATATGGTGTGAGCCCAAAGATAATCTAAGTGACTGTTATTTTTGTATGACTAATGTTTCTGGATATTCAGGCAAAAGTAAACAATATATTAAATATCCGGATATTGCATCTGCAATGAAACCAATAACCTCATGTTGATGGTCTTCCAGTGTCACATCCACCAGTAAATTGGGAAACAAAAGAGTTATTCTGCAAAGCAAACAATGAATTGTTTTCATCCTCTTCATCAAATAATTCTATTCCTGTGGCACTTCAACATAAACTGCCTCATCTGATAACACAAGAAGATTTAAGTGATTTGATTCATCTCTGTCAAAGCAGTATGGGAACATTCTTGGCTCTCGTTTACAGCAATATAATTTATTAGCTGCAGGAACAAGAGTTTCAGTTCACCAAAGTCGTCATCAAAGTCTGTCTTCTCACTACATCATGTACTAATGAAAGAATTGGGTGCTGAACATTATCCTTAAGAATGGAGACTTTTTATCGACTTATCTAAAGTTAGTCTGAAAGTTGTACATTGCACAATGGGAGCACTAAGCCATCGATTCCTGGTGTTCATGCTGTGAACATGAAAGAAACTTATCAAAGCATTCAGATTAAACATTCTTTAATGCAATTTTCAATGAATAACTATATAAAAAGTTGTTATTTATAAGAAAATTGTGAATAAATGTATCATAATTCGAAAACTAGAGCGAATCAGTGATTTTCACCATGATTTTTAGAATCAGCATTTATCAAATTACTTAAAAACAGTTGCATTTTTTCATGTAGCAGAGAAATGTTTTTCTTGTTGTTGTTGCCCAATGTAATTAATGTATTCCGTTGTAGAGCGAGCTCCAACTAAATTATTCATTAAACAATTGACCTGATAGCCGTCAGCTCCAAACTAAGTTGAAAATATATTATTGAAGTAGCCATTTAAATAACGGCATGTCTTCAAGACGTGGATTTCACAAATACTTGCCTTGAGTACTTCCATATTCGCGATCGATATCGGATTTATGTGCAATAGCTCTTTTATTACGCTTCTTTGTTTATAATGTGGTTTTAGTAATATCAAGTTGTGTTAGCTTGCAGAAAAAACAACTGTTTTTAATGTTCATAATAGCTTTTCTTTGTCTTCTCCTGGATTGTCTTCTCCTTTAATTTCACTGCCATGTTCTACTCTAAGACGTTAATATCCTTTTCAAACTAGGAATAAAGAAATCTACCCTCTTAACTTTCACCAGTTCCCTTCTTTTTTTAGGGGAGTAATTTATTTTAAAACATATGTCACTATACGTAGAAGAGCAGCTGTTGATGGCTTTTCATGGTATATTTCACTGGTGATTGAATTTTGGTTATTGTATAATAAGGTTTTTTGTTGGCAATCGATAATTCTTGAAGGTTATCCTCCCCTTTGGAAGATTATTCTTATAATTCCCTTCTCAGTAACGACACAATATATGGTACATGAGTTTAAGACACTGGTTGTTATGATTTCTTGTTTAATTTCAGGTTAGTGTAAGAATTGGCTGTTGTTTATATATTTTCTGTGTTTGACAGAAATTTATGATATTTTAATACTAACCTGCCAAAGTATTTTCTAGTTGTCTTCTGGTTACCCATTGAACTGTATTGATGAGCGTTTAATATTAATGCTTGAAGAAGTTTCCTAGTTTTCCTTGTTCATAACACCAAATAACAAAG